TGTTTATTCTTGGGGGAGGGAGGGGCCTAGTGAATCTGGTCAGTTTGGGGAACTTCCTGATGCTGTTTTGTTTACCTTCTGTCTTAAGGACTTTCCTACAGAATGGAATGTTTCAATGTGGAGGAAACTGCTACAACAGTCCCCCTTCTTGACTGCTCCACTGGCCTGAGGGTCACTGATTACCGCATTAAAAAAAGTCATTATATGTATGTATGTGTATGTATGTATGTATGTATGTATGTATGTATGTAAGCATATAGTGTGTGTGGGGGGCAACTAAACACATATACTGATAGAAATGTTTCACACAAACCTCTTAAGTGCTTTCCCATGTTATCTTTTGGACTTCATCTTTCCCCACTGAGGCATCCATGGTGACGCCTGAGATTCGAGAGACAGTGTTATTCTCTCTCCAGGAGATCTACCATATCCTAAAAAAATAGGCACTGCAACAAATAATGTGCTAGGCAAAGGCTTCAGGGCAGGCAAGATAGCTCAGTGGGTAAAGGTGACTGCTGCCAAGCCCAACAACTGGAGTTCTATCCCAGAGACCCACACGGTGGAAGGAGAGACCTGACTCCCTGTCCTCCGAAGTCCCCTTGGGTCACAGAATACACAAACAGCAAAGAGAAGGGAAAACCCTGACACTCACGCTGGGAGGGAGGTGCCACCAGGCAGGCAGCTGTGTCTTCTCCTGGAAGTGTGGGCACTATGGAGCCTGAGGTGGCTGAGGACACTAGCAGCAGAAATGATGCCCTAGGCAGAGCCTGCTGCCAACCACAGCTTCCTGGGCTTTGATATTAAGCTGACCTGGAATTACTGAATGACCAACAACTGATCAGGATCTAATGACACACCTGAGTGCACTGAGGAAATAAAATGTTTAAAGTGAAGAGTAAGGGTCTGATTAACACTTACCAGGAAACGCCTCATGCTTAAAAACACCAGCCTAAAAATAGTTACCTATGGGGCTGGCAAGACAGCTAGCTCACTCGGTAGAGGGCTTGCTGCACAAGCAGGAGGACCAAGTGCAGATTCCTAGCAAGCACATCAAAAAGCCAGGCGCGGTGGGGCTGTCTACGAAACCAGCTTTAGAGTAGTGGAGATGGCAGGATCCCTGGGGCTCTCTGGCCAGACAGTAGTGGGATTTGCTGAGGCCCGGGTTCAGTAAGAGACCTTGTTCTATTAAAAACCAACAAAAAAACAAAAAAAAAAAAAAAAAAAAAAAAAAAAGCGGTACAGTGCTATCAAGGAGGAGGCCTGATGTTGACCGCTGCTCCTACATGTACACACTGCACGGATACACACACACACACACAGTGACCAATGTCGATGCTGGTGGCAGCTTGTGGCTCCGTGGCAATGGCCGTCTGTGGAAACTGCAGGTCTAAGGCAAACACATGTCTGGTAGTATAGCTAACAGGTTAGATGGAAATCTGTTTCCAGAAAATGCTTTCCTTTTAAACACTTAGAAAAATCAAAGTGCCTAGACAAAGGCTTCGGTTTGCTGATGACGTGAACAGGGTTAAGACGAGGAGATGCAGGATGAAAATATAAAACGATGCATCCTGATATTGAGCTGAATCTCTGAACCACTCAGGGCCTCAACCTGCCTCCTCCATCTGCTGTTCGTCTTTGAGGAGCCATGGCTGCTTTTCTTGTCTTCTTTTGTTTGAAACAGGTTCTTACTCTGTAACCCCAGCTAGCCTCAATCTCTTAGCAGGCTTCCTACCTCAGGTTCTTAAGTGCTGGGAGGGACTGCAGGTGTGACTCACTAGGTTGTTCTCTAGCAAATACCTCAAGGGGGAAAAACAAACCAATTAAAACAGTACAAAACAAAAATAAACAAAAACGGCTACATCTAGTTTCTTTGACTGTCTTTGGTGAAAGATTTCTGGTTGGAAAAAGAGTCTTGCTCAACAAGGACTTTCTGGCTATCTTGACATTCTATTTCCCTACCTTTCCAAGACTTCCTTTAAATGCTTCCGGGGCAGCCATTCTTGACTCAAGGTCAGTCTGGAGAGTCCCACGCAGAAGAGCATGTCTAAGGTGAAGAATCTGCTCACTGTCCTCCCAGCTCCAATGCTAGCTTCTATGTGGCTTTTTCAGAGGGGTGGGCGATCTCTGCTCACGTGATCTCTGGCCACGTGACTGCCCACAGCAGCAGGTCTGAGACTGTGTCCCTTGGGGGACAAGGTGAGGTACAGAGGAGCTAACTCCGCTGGCACCACATTGCTTTCCCCAGCTGGTAACTTCACCCTGTGCGTTAACTGCGCCATCTCTCCGCATACAGGGGTTTAAAAACATTTTGCACGCAGATGCTGAAATTCTTTCAAATAAAAATTTATTTTGCAAATCAGACACTTACTTTCAAATATAGTTCCTCTGTAAATCCCATTTTTTGGGTATTACATTTAGTTATAATTCACTGGAGGCACCTGAATGGTATCATTTCACAATGTGTAGAATTAATAGTTTAAAGGCAGCTGTCCCAGATAAAGGTATATTCTATTTTCCATAATTCAATCTGATCCAGAAAAGCATATTAGCCATGCAAGCATAAATCTTTTATCTTAGATAATAAAATATATTCACTCCATACAATAATAAAATATAACTCAGTATTTGCTGAAGTAATTAAAGGGTTACAAAATGATTCGGGTTATCATCCAAAGGAATGTTAAGTACAAATCTGTAAAAAGATTATTTTCTAAATACATTTCCAACAAGGTTGGACATCTGCAAATATCTTACATACATAAAGAATAAATTACTCTTGGTTAACACATTTTTGCCTTAGGGCCATTAAAAACTGTAACAATTTTGATCACCTTAAAATCCTAAATTTTTTAGGGTAGGCTCTGCCAGCTCTGGCACACAGCATAAATGGCTGGGAAGGGAAATGCTCAAAGCAGTGACAAGGTTAATTAGCTGGCAGAAAGGCTTGGGAAGGGGGGGACAAGGAAGATCAGAGGGAAGATGCCACCAAGACACTGACAGGCCAGCCCAGGTGCAAGCTCTCTGCAGCTTGGGATCCTGGTGCTTACTTAGGGCCTTCTGAGAGACCCCCCAAGCTTTCCAATTTGTCAGGCCTTTCCTCTCGAATGTGATTTTTTTTTTTTAAAACTGAGGAGTGTGGCATACTTGAAGAGAAATGTTACCAGATATTAAGCAAGAAAAGCAGTACAGAGACCAAAGCAAATGTCTCCAGTAAAGAGCCTCAAGAGCCCCAAAGGGGTTTTGCATATGAATGCAGGAAAGCAGTGAAATTGGACTTAAGGCTCTTAAAAAAAAAAAAAAGCCAGACAGAGCCAGACATGCTGACTAATGCCTGTAATCTCTGCACTTGGGAGGCTGAGGCAAGATGATAGAACATTCAAGGCCTGTGGTTTGGTCCCTAGCAAGTACCACGGGGGTGAGGGGGTGGGGGGTGGGGAGAGGGGACAGAAAACAGTACCCAGCAGGAAGGCTGAGGAACACTCTAAGAAAGATGAGAGGTGGAGTAAGCCTCTGCCCACAGACTCCTCTAACCCAGGTGGCTACTGTTAAATGTCTCCACGGGCCCAACCCAAGGCTGTCACCTGGAAACCTGCCAGACATTTCCTGAGGGCTCCAAAGCTTCACGGAGGAAGGTGCTGGTCACAGCACCCACGCACTGTACGTCCAAGGCAGTGATGGAAGGACGTGTATTTATAGCTCAATGCTTTTCAGCTTTATTAGGAAATAAAGGGAACAGCCCTGAACTCTCCTAAACTTCAGCTATGCATCACAACCACATCCTCAATGACAGCAGGTTCTAAGGCCAGGTGAGATTGTAAGGTGCTACAAGGAAGGCTAGAGCAAAATCACGGACGGCACAGCCTGCTGAGGCCAGAAGTGCTGTGGACCACTCTAAGCAGATGTAAGGATGTGTCCTAAAGAATACTTGATCAGGGTATGAGGGACCGTTTAGATGGAACGGCATTCATGGAGGCCTGCGGTGTGTAAGGGACTGCTGGCTGGGCAGTCTTTGGGGACTCTTTTTTAAAAGGGCGAGAGAATACATCAGCAAAGTTGACTAGGTGGTTAATACTTTTTTTTTTTTTTTTTGTCTACTTGAAAAGGATAATGCACCCCGGTACTGTTCCAATACAAAAGCACTTGATTCCCATATTATGTGGGGCTCAGAATCTTTTTACACAAATGTTTTCTAACGAGGCAAGAACTTAATGATTTCTAAAACTTGGAAATTACATCCAAGGAACAAGAGGTAGCTTTTATTTTTAGCGCTGTGGTTGGAACAGTGACAAGGAGTGATTTATTCCGCAAGTCTGATGGTGCAGTCTCTTGGGGTTTCTGCACTGTACCAGCCTGTGCATTTGTGTCGTGTGGGGAAAGCCAGGAAGGGTCCCTGGGTCTCACTGCTTCCCAAATGCTCACTCTCATCCATGTGCCAACGACTTAAGAGGAGAACAGAGCTTCCCCAGGAAAACCCCGCTGCACCCGGGATCAGCTTGTTTTAAACAGAGGAAAGGTGGCTGGGAGGGTGTCTTCGGTCACAAAGGGATCAATGAATGCCAATGCCAAGCATGGTGGCTCTCTCACTGGGCAAGTGACAACCTGAGCTGCTCACAGGCACAGGCACACTCATTCTAAAAGCTGTGTACACGATAGCTATCGCACAGGAGGAACACACAGAGTGCCGTTTTCTAAACAACAGGTGGACGACCAGACGGCAGTTCACCCAAGCCACAAACTGAAGCGGGGTTTCAGTCTAAGAATTCTAAGTTTTCTAAGGAGGTAATGCCACGAGAGTAGTGTTAAACTCCCACAGCATGAGAGAAAGAAAGAACCGGGGGGGGGGGGGGGGAAGGGAGTCAGCATTCTAAAGGGGAAAGAGGGTGGGCATGGTGGCGCCGACGTGGGACTCTGAGTTCAAAGCCAGCCTGGGCTGAATAAGCATGACCTTGTCTCAGAACCAGAAACACGGTTGTGAGCAGCGGCAATAAAAGAACTTGTGCTAGAATTACAGAGCTTCATTAGGTACCAAGACTCCCAGGTGCAAGGCACATTAACAACAACAGCAGCAGCAATGTTACTAAGACAATGAAAACCCAAAGACAAAGGCCCCTAAGGTGCACCAGCACAGCATCATTAACACTGCAGCTGCTATGCAGAAAGCAGGGCTGTGTGGGGAGCGGCTGCTCATGAGGCAGAGCAGAGCTGGTATTCTGGGTTGACTTCCAATGACTCTTCAGATTTAAAGCTACTCTGTCTTCAAAATGAGTTCCCAAGCTCTCCACATTACAAACTACGGGCAAAGCTGTAGAGGATTCTACTAGTACTTATTTTTGTCGTATATTGCAGGTTAGACCAAGTCCATTGGTTTGCTTGAACAGAGTCTTGAAATCGTGGTCCACACTGCTTGGTCCAAAAGCCAACTAAGGAGAGGAGCTCTGAAGAATAATTACAGAAATCCCGACTTCTTCACCTTGGTTATGGATCCACAGTTTGCACAGAAATAAATAATATTCATGAAGTCAAATTAGGATTAAAATGTGAAACAAGGAAAGAAAAAAAGGATTGGTGGGGTAGGTGGGACAGCAATCTGGTACTCTTAAGGCAAAACAATGGAAATTTCTTTAAATAGACACTTTATTATATCCACAGGCGGTAAAATCCCAGAGCTACCGTTAGGCACGTAAACACAGACCCTGCAAGACAAACAACCAAGAGTGCTGTTAGCCCCCTAAATCACTTTCAGGATTTCCTTTTGTACTATGTCAGGTACCAGGTGTCAGGACTGAGTGAGTAGGGATGCCAGGCTACAGGTACTTCTTCCCTCTCCTTGTGCCAGTCAAGACCTGGATACAGTGTACCAAAGGGTGGCAATCCATGAAACACTGTTTGTTAAAAGAACTCCAAAAACACATCTCCACCCGGCAGCCAGCATCTTTACCAGGTACAAACTTGTCCAGGACTCAGCAAAACCTTCCAATCCAAGTTAGAATCCCAACAACTGTAGGATCAAAGTACATGCATGTGCGCTATGCACGTCCACATGAGGAGCAAAATTTCACTGTTAAATATCGCTGTAACTTTAAAACGCTTGATTATTCTGAAACATTAAGACTGACTTGAAATAGTGATCTTTAAAACTATTTATTTTTTTAATTGTATGCAGATGAGTGCTTGCCTGCATGTATGTTTGTGCAACATACACATGCCTCCTAGTGTTCATGTAGCCCAGAAGAAGGCATGAGATTCCCCTGGAACTGAAGTTACAGGCCGTTGTGAACTGCCATGTGGGTGCTGAGAATTGAACCCAGGTTCTTTGCACAAGCAAACAGTGATGTTAAACACCGAGAGGTCTCTTCAACCCCCTAGCAATGTTGTTTTTTTTTTTTAATGCAAAAATATTCCTTCTTTGGCTTAAAAATTACAAAAGCAAAAGTAACTTTTTAACTAGACTGTCCTGTGGCTGAAGAGATGGCTCAGTGAGAGCAACCGGAGTCTGAATCTCTAGAATCCATATAAAAAAGCTGTGCATGCAACAACCCCAACTTCCCCCACCCACCCACACCTTCTCTCCCTCTCTGTGTTCAGCTTAGCTCCAGGTTCAGAGATCCTGCCTCAAGGGAACAAGGTAGAGGGTGACAGAGTAGGGAAGCCATGTCATCCTCTGGTCTCTTCAGGTACACACATGGGTACTCCTCTCCAAGTGTTACCGATGGAGCAAGATGGCCACAAATCAAAGGCCTTTCCTTCTACTTATGGGCTACTCCCTGTGCTGAACTTCACCGAAACCCCCAAACCATAGAGAAATGATGGGAGATGTCATTCTGTATATGTTTCTCATACTGGTTAATAATAAAGCACTGTTGGCCAATAGGAAAGGAAGATAGGAGGGACTAGGAGACAAGGAGGAAATAGGAAGTAGGAGCCAAGATGGAGAGTCTGAAGAAAGCAGTATGCCGCCGGCTCCCCGGTAAGAAAAATACATAGATCAACAAAAATGGGTTAATAATTAAAGGCAGAGCTAGCCAATAAGAAACAAGTAACCGGGCCAACAGTATTGTATCAAATACAGAGTCTCTGTGTATTATTTGGGACTGGCGGCGTGGCAGCAGGACAATACCAGGCGGCGGGCAGAAAAACCTGTATGCCTTACAGAGAAAGGTTAGCATTCTGTCAAATTTAAGGACTCATCAATTATAAAGTACAGAAGTATCTTTATTACTAAGGAAAAAAAATGCCAATTACAAGAGGCTTGTGTTGGAAACTGCAGGATGTACTGCCACAAAAACGATGTTAAAGCAGGAGGAGGCGGCATCAGCCAGTGCTCCCTGCCCGACTATTCTATGAACCACATTGAACACATTGTTTTCAGCAAAGCATCTCACCTGCTAAGTATTTGATCGTGTCAAGCTTGTGCGCCTCCAGCATGGTCTTGAGGCCAGCCACCTCAGTTTCTATCTTCCTGTCTGTCTGGGTCAGGGCTCTGTCTTGCTGGGCGTGCTTTGAAAGCAAAGAGGTTGAGAACATTAGGGTCTGTGCGTGCTGATCTGTTCCCTGGTGCTCTGACCCAGAGCTCTTTCTCAGCAGCGTGCAGTCCCGGATCGAGAGCTCAGTCTTGACTCTGCTATCCACAGGCCATACTGCACTGTCCAGGGCCCTTAACATCTCCTGTCTCAGTTTCATTCTGTTTGGAAAAAGGGATTAAAAACAGAACAAACCAACAACTCACCATTGGTCTTGCCTCCAGAAGAGCTATTCAGAGAATCAAAGATAATAATCTATATGGCAAAGTTTTTGAGAGCCAGACAGCTTTACGTGCTGTGGCGTTATGACACTGGCCTGCTCTTGATGGTAGCAATGTCTAGTCCCTATTAACCCCTGCAGGCAACAGTGGACACAAAAGTTCTGCTGAGAGACGAACATGGCCTTAGATCTGACATCACAGGGCTCATTCAGTGCTATTTCTAGCCCCATCTTTTCAGGCTGTTGTCTCTCCCAGGTCAAACACCAAGTGTTTTATTAACACAAGGCTCAGCTACCAGGGGCTGATTAATGTCCTCCAAACACAGGACAACTCCAGACTACACATTTAACCCTCAGTGGGCAATGATTCTGGTTGTCATGCTAAAGCATAAAAACAGCGGGAATGTTCTACTAAAAATCCAAGGACAAGAAGTTTCTTTTTTCCTTTTTGTTTTTTTCAGGACAGGGTTTCTCTGTGTAGTTCCGCCTATCCTGGAACGTGCCCTATAGACCAGGCTGGTTTCAAACTCACAGACATCAGCCTGCCAATAGTTTCTTACCAACACCAATGCAGGTAAATAATAAGGAAATGAAGTCATTCTAGATAAAGATCCTTGTATCCCATGGAAGGTCCTGCAGCACAACACAATATGGGTATCTCCCTATCCTATAAGTTATGTTCATGCTATGTATATATGTAACATATACAGAAACACACACACACACACACACACACACAGAGCAATTAATTCATGCCTTAAATTAGAGTGTCTTATATTTTGTCATTTGTCGGTCACCGAGTAGACACTGAGAGAGCAGGTCTCTGAAGCTGGGGGGAGGGGTAGAGAACTAGGATTTAAGAGACAGTTTTGGGCCAGATGTTGGTGGCACATGCCTTTAAGTCCCAGTACTCAGGAGGCAGAGGCAGGAGGATCTCTGTGAGTTCGAGGTCAGCCTGGTCTACAGAGCTAGTTCCAGGACAGCCTCCAAAATTATGCAGAGAAACACTGCCTTGAAAAACCAAAAGAGAGAGAGAAGGAGAGAGTTTTGGGGGCCGGAGAGATGGGTCAGGTGTGGAGGTGTGTGCCTGTAATTCCAGGGCTGAGAGGTGGACAGGTGGATCCTGGAGCTCATTGGCCAGTTGGTCTAGCTAGTTGCTGAGCTCCAGGTTCAGTGAGAGACCCTGTCTCAAAATAGAAGTGGGGGGGGGGGATAGCTATTCAGGCAGATACTTGATACTGACCTTTGACCCCTACAGGTATATGCATAGTTGTACACCTCTCCCAAGGAAAAAAAAGTTTCAATTTTGAAGAATAAATGACACTGGAGATGGAGAACTGGCTCAGTAGTTGAGAGTACTTGCTGTTCTTCCAAAGGATTGGAGTGTGGTTCCCAGTACCCATGTTGGACAGCTTACAACTTCCTGTAACTCCAGGGACCTAATGACCTCTTCTGGCTTCCACAGGCACTTGCATACACACACACACACAGCAAATCTTCAAAACATTGTATTGAATTAGTTATGCACACAAGATTGTTATAATGGCGATTCTTACATACGCTTTACCACAATGAAAGAGAGTCCCACACTAAATGGACACATCCTCCTGTTAACAGGTCAGACAGTGGCTAACCCCCAAAGTCACGCACGGGGAGAAGCAAAGATGAATTGAATGGCCGCAAAGGCAGCCTCAGTCCTTACCAGGGACACCATTTCTGTCCTCAGTTGCAGCATCTTCTTCTCATTCAATGAATACTGAAACAAACATGCAGCACAGGTTAGCGTCTAGTCCGCCATCTTTCCGGTGAGTTAAACGGTCCGTTCTCACTGCCTCCCAGAGCATCTAACAGAACATGTAACCCTGCATCTCTGCAGTCTACTGCTCTTTGGAGTTGAGCCTTCTCATTTACACCACTGGTTGTGCTGGCTGCTTTAAGATCAACTCAAAACGAGCCAGAGTCCTTTGGGACTGAGAAAACAGCCCACCAGACTGACCTTGGGGCAACTTCTTGATTTGATGTGGGTGGGCCTCCCTCGCTCTGCCGATGGTCTAGAAACTCAAAGCAGGCTGAACAAGCCATGGGGAACAGGCCAGTGAGTAGCACTCCTCCATGGCTTCCAGGTCTCTGCCCTGACTTGCCTGGATGATGAATTACAAGCTACAGTCTGAAATAAACCCTTCCCTCCCCAAGTTGTTCTTAGAGTCAGTGTTTCCCACAGCAACAGAAAGGAAACCAAGACACTTGATGTATGGCCCCTTTCCACCTCTCTGCTCTTTCACGTTATCTCTTAGCTGTGATATCCCTGGGTCTTGCCCACTATTAGAACAGCTTTTGGATCTGTAAGGGCTAGTAAAGGGGAGGGGACACCAGTTTAATTTAGAAACGATGGTCCCTTAACTACAAATGTGACAGAATTACTGATACGATAGGAGTAATAGGAACAACATAACATTAGGAAAAGACAGTTGAAGAAATATGATTCTGTAACAAGATATGCTACTGTTATAAAGCACAACATAAATACAAGAGACACAGCAAAGCATCACAAACTGTCTTAACAACAATGACCTGAAGAGCTCTGTTGTGGGTAAACAGCAGCCCAGTGTTTCTCAAAGCCTCTGGCTATTAATGGTGGTAAAAAGATTTAGTACAGCTCTGTTTACAACATAATAAAAATCAGACATGTTTCCATAATAATGAACATTAGTATTTAATTGAGCAAATGGCAACCTGTAGTTTAAATGAACATTTACGACTTAACACTGTTAACAGGAAAAATGATAGTGGCCTAAAGTCCCTAGAAAATTTCTAGCCATAAAATGTTGTCTTCAAACTACTGGAGCAACAGAATGTAGTAATTCAGTGGTCAGAAGTAAAAATTCATCCCCAGACTCTGGAATCCTTAAGTAACCAGCCTAGTGACTCAGGACCCTAACTGTTACATAAGCTGGTTCAGATCCATGCCATTCACCACATCACCACCAGAGGGCAGAGTGGAGCTGGATGTTCTGTACACCTTTAAGCTTAGTAGTAATAACAAATCCACAGGCAAAAGAAAGGCTTACATCCAGACATTGTCACCATTATTAAAATGACATTTCTGTGGCCCTAGCTCCTGGAACTCCAGAACTGCAGTATTCTATGCTGCTATGGTAATTGGCGGTAAATATCACCATAGCTAATTTTTGTTGGCTGAGTTGGGTATCAAACTCAGGGTTTCACACAAGCTAAAGAAGTGTTTGGCCAGTGAGACATAACCCCAGCCCAAATTCAATTTGAAATTAATATTTTAATTTACCAAGAAGAAAGTCAAACCCTCATTTGCATTAATGCACTGTCTCATATTTACTGGGTACCATGCAGTTCTGCCAGAGCCGACTTCCTCATTCAGCAAATCCTATACATTCAGAGGTTTTCATCCATATTCAGGCCCTGCAGCTCCCAATCTCTGAGATGTATTTCTTTCCGGCTTGGTTTTACATAAGCACGCTATTACCTTCCTAAACTAAATGAATTGCAGCAAAACCTAGCCGAAGAGGTCACAGAAGGTTTCCATATGCTGGCCGCTGGATCTTCATGACTGAAAGGGATCCTAGGATTTTAAAAACAGCCAATGGGCTCAGCATTTATTTTGTATAACAAAGCTCAACTTAACCTCTGAAGTCCAAGAGCAGTTCTAGATACAGTTACACACTGGTCTGAGCTGCAGTATTAGCTTCATGTGTCACCGTGACATACTCTGACAGAAGACACACTGAGAAGTGATGAGCATGAAGGGCTATGTGGGCTCTAACGCCCGGGGTCCATTTCTGACTGAGTGCAAACATGCTCCACATGCCCTGGTTTTCTTATGCCACAAGTCAGAAAGTTGCCTTCTTACATTACTTAAGCTAACAAGGGTCTGAGCAAAAAGATGGGAGGATTTAGACAGGTTAAATAGTCAACAGAGAAAGGCAGGTACTGTAGCCCAGGAGGACCGTGGGGTGGGGTTCAGTGGCTCAGTGGTGGGAATTGTAGCCCAGGAGGAACGTGGTGAGGGTAGGGGGTACCCGTGGCTCGGTGGCATCACACTAGAAAGTAGCACCACCCAGAGTCTGAGTCCCAGAACTGCTAAAATGAGAAATAAGAATCTGCCAGAGCAACCCGACAATACATCCACTGAAACCCACAGCTACTCTAGTATCTAAGAGACAATGCAGAAATACATCACCAATTCAGTGTAGAATTTAATGTAATAATAATACTACCTAAGTCAGAAAATCAGGAACTCTTGGAAAGTTAGGGACCATGGGGATTAAACCAGTATTAAATAGATTAAGATTAAGATAGACTAACATCTATGTAACATAATCTAGTGCCTTTGAAATAAAAGACTCAAATTCAATTTGAACAACTTTTTAATTTAAATGTTACTTTTGAAACCAAATTTAAGTCTGATCAGTCTGATCTAAAATGTAATTAAAATTTAAAATGAAGTTATGATCTCTGATAAATGGATGAGTGTCTAAAATTTGTATCTTGCATGAAAGATTAAGAGTTCAACAAGCATTCCATTCTAAAGAGACATAAATTAATAATTTACTTTTAATGAAGGAACATACCAATTCTTTTACTCTGCTCTTCTCTAGATTGAAGTTTAATTTGGTATCTGTCCGGACTTTGAGGACTTCATCCTGGTCAGAGGGCAGGGGGACAAAGAGAATGAAGAAGCCAGTGTAGGTAATCTGAACCTCCTGAGGGCTTAAACTGGGCACTGCCCACTGTCTATCCCAAGGGAGCCAGCCCAGGGACATGCCAGAGGCCTTGGGGACAGAGACTCAGGATCAACTGTCTCTTAAGCCAGCTCTGTGTCTGGCCCTCCCAGTTATCTGCACAGATAATGCGCTCTGAACTGAACATCAGCCTGGTGGGGTTCAGCTGTTCTAACCTCAAGACTCTCACGACCTCCCTATTGGAATCTGTGAATAAAATTCTTTAGGCTGTTTTCAAAAGCAAAGATGGAGCCGGGCGGTGGTGGCGCACATCTTTAGTCCCAGCACTCAGGAGGCAGAGGCAGGCAGATCTCTGAGAGTTCCAGACCAGCCTGGTCTACAAGAGCTAGTTCCAGGATAGCCTCCAAAGCTATCTTTGGAGCCTGTCAAAAAACAAACCAACCAACCAACCGAACAACAACAAAAAAAGATGGACCAGAGGACAAATATTCAACTCTGGCTACATAAAGCTTTCTCACTAAGACTCAGCAAAATTTTTTCTAACTCCACTGTTATCTCCTACTTTACAAAGTCACCAGCTGGGTGAGCAAGCATCTAAACCCACATGGAATCCTACAAAGTCACCCTCTCATAGAAGGGCCCCAGGGACCCACATAGCTGTTTTAGAACAGTTTTGATTTACAATGATTTAACCAGGCCTGGGGGCAGAGGCTATCAACCCAGCACTCAGGAGACAGAAGGAGATCCCAAGCTGGAGTTACACAGGCTGAGACCTATCTCAAGAGAGAGAAATATATCCTCCTACAACACCGTTTCCTTGACGAATGTGGCCATAGGCAAGGGTAACTGATACAACACCTGATGTGTGCTTTGAAATATATTACACAAATTCTAGAGTTGTGTTCTCCAGCACACACAATGTATGTGTGAGATCTTATCTATAAATGAACGTATATGATTACATACATGCCTGAGGACAGGAAAGAACTTACCATCACTTGCTGTTTTAACTGGTGTAGTTCAAGTTTTATTTTCTAAAAGCAGAGTAAAGAGAAAAAAGTCAAGGACATGTGACAGAGGGAAAACATCACAGCAAACATTCAGGTACAGGTTCACCAACCCCCCACCCCCCCACCCCCAAGTTTACCACACACCACTAAACTCAGACCTACCTGAGCTGGCTGCGGGGTGCAGCCTCCAATCTCAGCACTGAGACACTGGGCCACAAGGACTGTGCAATGGACTTGAGACCAGCCTAGGCTATTTCCTGAGTAGAACACTAGCCCGGGCTACATAAGATTCTTTCAAAAAACCAAAAACCCAAACAACTAAACAAACAAATGCCCCATTTATAGTCATCCTATGATGGCAGTGACTGGGAAACAGCCTGACTCCCTGTGGATCACATCAAGTGAGGAGCAACCCTGGCACACGTTTGTCTGAAGGGACCCTGTTTTCTTTGTAATTCCTCCTTGGCTTTTTCTTTCAAACAATTCTGCCCTCTACAAGCTGTGTTCAAAGCCAACCTTGTGAGTTCCTCAGGCAACAAATGACTCCTTTACAGGACTTCAGTGAGACTGAAGCCGAAAGCAAGGTGCAAAAAACCTTCCCTAAGCCATACACCACACTTTAAAGGGGCAGAAATGGGCTGGTGGGACGGCTCAGTGGGTAGAGTACTCGTCTTGCAAGCCTGTCAGCCTGAATTCTACCCCCAAATCCCACGGAAAGGTGGTAGAAAACCAGCCCCACAAGCAAGCATGCTGTGGATTCATATATGCATACGCACACGCATTCATTACACATATATGTAATAAAAAATTGGGGACCGGACAGATGGTTTAGTGGTTAAGAGCACTTATTGCTCTTATAGAGGACTCACGTTTGGTTCCCAGCACCCACACAGCTGCTTACAACCACCTGAGACTCCAATTCTAGATGATCTGACACTTTCTTCTGGCCTCCATGGGCAGTGCATGCAAGTAGCCCACAGACATTAACATAAAAAAGCTTAAAAAGAAATAATATTTATCTACGTATTTATTTTTGGTAGGGAAGGAGCATTTTGTAGAACTATCTATTCCTAACCCTGCAGACTGGGGAAAAAAAAATCCTATGTCCACTATACTAGGATGATGTGCACAGTAATATAATGCCATAGACAATGACAACTAAAGGCTCAGTCATTGCAAGGCACACTGCATGCATCCGTCAAACAGAAGTCTAGAATGGGCAAAACCAGTGGAAGATTAACCAGCCAGGGTTGTTTTCCTCTCGAGAGGAGGGGCTGGAAGGGGCCTGGGCAGGGTCACCAGGGCTAGCAATGTTCACATCTTGATGTACTCAGCTATGCAAACCCTGGCCCATTGCTGTGAGTAATTTTCCTGTGCCCTTCTGGGTGTGTGCAGCTCAATGTCTTAACAGAGAATGTTAGAGAGGCTGCACAGTTTTACCTCATTTTCTGCTCTGAGGGCTGAAAACTCACTCTTCTCCAAGATGACCATATCTTTTTTCACGTTAGCAATCTGAGACATTATTTGCTGAAGAGTGATTTCCTAGGAAAAGACAAACAAACATGGACTCTAGTCAGGCCCCTAAACTCACTTCTCACCTCCGCCTGCTGAGATGGCTAAAAGGAAGCTACAAGAGTGGGGGTAAAGAGGGACTGGCAAGGGCGCCCTCTGCTCCAAAGTGAGAGGATAAGGAGAGAGAATAAGAAGGACACTCATCATCCACAGCAAACGCAAGTGAGTCACAGCTTAGAGGGAGAGAGGCCGCACTCACAAACACGATGCTGTCACCTACAGTTCTGGCCACATCTCCCGTCACTAACGTGAGCGTGCCTGAATAGTCATGTTGACACAATGAACATCCGAGCACAAGCCTGTAATAACTAACTAAATGTCTGTGCTGACATATTCTTGTTATGATCTTTGCCTCTGAACTATGGTTACAATTACCACACACTTCTCCGTGGAGCAGTATCCAAAAAGCTGCTGGAGTATTTATGACGAGTAATATTCTCCTTTCAGACTGCCAGTGTGCCCACCCACCCTGCCCACGTTACCTGCTGCACTTTGGTGACCATATCGTTGTAGACGATGTTCATGTTGGTCTCTGTGATCTTGACCAATGCAGACACAATGATTTCTGCTTGTTGAGTGGTAAACCCTGGACAAACACACAGAAACAACCGGACTCAGAAGAAAAGGCAGACAAAGATGCGGGAAAACACGTGTTTCCTCAATTCTGAAGGAAGAGGAAAGAAAGAATGGTGTGGCGGGAGAGTGAGACAGGCCTACAGGCTGTGACAGACACATCTGCCACCCTGGCCAGAAGGAAACTCCTGAGTGGCCATCTCTAACGCCATCCTCAGGTTCCAAATCAAGAAAAACAGAACAGTTCTGTTTATCAAAACACTTTATATGCCATCCTTCTTTTCTTTTAAATTCTAGGCTGGAAGATGTTTTTGGTGGGAAAGGCCTGCTGTTCCATTCAATGAGAAAAGCTGAACAAACTATTACACAGTGTCTGACCATCTTCCCAAAGACCACTATGTACATTACTGCATTTAATATGCAAAAGGATCTTTGGGGGTCTTCAGTCTGTGGTACAGATGGGCGGGTACACAGCAGCTGAGGAGGCGGGGCTTCTCAGAATCCGGGTATCTGTCTGCCCAATAGAGGTTGCTAAGCCCACCTAACACAAATGTATATACCTGGATAAATAAACTCGGTGATGTAAACACAGACATGTTTATTTCAAAGGCATACTCTATGTTAATTCAAAACCTGGTTTTGAGAATATACGTGCCTTATAATAGAGAATTGTAGGCAGCATATTTCTCTGAATATTAATTATAAGATCATATACTGTGTCCCAGGTGTACTTTCAGTGACCAGCACTTGTATCAAGGCAACCTTTTCGGTTGGTGTATGTGTGAGATGTATAAATGCTTATGTGGAATCAGGGGGGATAGCTGAGGGTCTTCCTCAGTCACTCAACACCTTATTTTTGTTGAGGTGTGGTCTCTCACTGGACCTGGAGCTTGCTGACTCAGGGATATGGGCCGGCTAGCAAGCTCTGTAGCTCATTTGTCTCCCCTCCCAGTGTTGGAATTACAGGCGCATCATGATGACTGGAGGGTTATGTGGGTACTAGGGAACTAAAGTCATGTGAAGAGAACTTGTTGCTCTTCTGAAGGATCTAAGTTTGGTACCCGGCCCCCTTTACAGGCAGCTTACAACTATCTGTAACTCCAGCTCCAGGAGATCTGAAGCTTCTGGCTTCTGAAGGTACCCTCCCCACATACGTAAATAAAAATAAAACAAATCTTAAAAATTTAAAAAAGGGGGCTGGAGAGACGGCCTAGCGGTTAAGAGCACTGCCTGTTCTTCCACAGAACCTGGGTTCAATTCCCAATACCCACATGGCAACTCACAACTGCCTGTAACTCCAGTTCCAGGGGATCTGACACCCTGACACAGACAGACAGATAGACAGACACACACACACACACACACACACACACGCAAAATACCAATGCACACGAATATAAATAAATTATTTTAACAATTAAAAAAGAAAAGGAAACAAATTAAAAAAAAAAATCCCAAACAGGACAGATGATATGGCTCCCAGCTTAAAGGTACTTGGTGTCAACACTGATGACATGAATTCTATTACCAGAACCCTCACCTCCCTTCACCACGCTCCTCTCGGACTACACACAGTAAATGTATGTAAAAAAATTAAAAAGCCAACCCCCCAAAAACACCCAAAGTACAAAACAAGAACAAAAAACCATCAATAAATTCCAAAATGCGCTGTCCGAATTGTATTGATAAAGTAAAAAGGCTTCCTTAATCAAGGTAGGGTGTGGGGGGAGCAGTTCGACGCACAGGTTCGTACCCAGCAGGAACTAAGCAGTTCCCCAGACCTGCAGGAACTGTGCATGGTGGCACCATCTGTAATCCCAAGGAGGCGGGGTGTCACAAATTCAAGGTCACCCTCAGCTACACAGTAAGTTTGAGGCCAGCCTGGGATATATAAATACTTAAGTGTCTCTCTCAAAAAAAGTCCCCAAGCCAAGGGGAAAAAAAAAAAAGTGAACTTAAAAAACAGGCTCTCTGTCCTAGTTGGCTTCAGCTGTCAATTTCACACACCTGGGAAGAAGAAACAAACTTAACCTAAGAACTGCTTCCACGCCCCATGGGCATGTCTGTTGGGGATATTTTTGAACTGCTAATTGTTCTGAGATGGCCAAGGCAACCGTGGGCAGTGCCATCCCTGGACAAGTGGGCCTGGGCTATTTAAGAAAGCATGCTGAGCAGGCTATGGAGTAAGTCAGTAAGCACAACTCCTGCAGGATGCTCAGGTCACACTTCCCTCAATCATGGCCCTAACTTGTAAGCCAAACACCCTTCCCCCCCCCCCCCCCAACCTGTTTGGTGCTCACAACAGCAACAAAAAGCAAATGAGAACACCAACCAAAAACTTTCTGAAGGCTGAGAAGTCGAAAGAGAAACACCGGAAAGGTAAGGAAGCAAAGCAGAGAAGAGCTGCATTGATCCAATGCGCAGCCAAAGACTGGGGAGCGGAGGGGCGGGGCGGGGTGGGGCGGGGCTTACCATTTGTTTCAAGTAAACACACTAAAGCATGGGTGTCAAAGTAGAGCTTTCGACTCACGGAAGAGGGCAAGCTGCCCTTTCTATGTTCCAGCTGCCGGGAGTCAGCAGACAGGCTTAGGTCTAGAAGGGAAGAGAAAGGAAGCCACTATCAGTCTGAGCAGGAAACAAAAGCCACTCAATGCCACTCACTTTTACAGTACCAGAATCCACACATAATGATGGAACCAACCCATTTCATGCATAAAGTTCAGTTGTTTCTTGTATATTTAAGAGTTGTGCACTCATCTCTGCGGTCAACTTTCTCCATCCTGAGTAGAAACTGTATCTTTCAGCCAGTACCCCATCTTGTCCCTACTGTCTGAAACAGTGTTTCATTCTGCAGAGAGCAAACTGCAGCGCCCTAACTAGCCTCAGACGCACAGTGAAACTTCTGCCTCATCAGTCTCCCACGTCCTGGGATTTCAGGCTTGAGCCACCACACTCAACCTTCTTCCCCACTCTCCACCACTGCTTTAGACAACCAGAAATCTGTTTTCCATCTTATTGTCTGCCTACTCCGTAGAGTTCATATGCATGGAGTCATGCAATGTGGTCTTGGCATTATGGTCAGTGGTCATCCACGCTGCAGAGTGTGCTGGGTGCACCGGCACTTTATTTCTGTGTTGCTGAATAGCATGCCACTGCCCTGCAATCCCACAGTTTGCAGTTCATGGCTCTCAAGAATGACCCTGTGGACACTGTTTTAGTTCTCTTGAGTGTGTCGCTGGGAGCAGAACTGCAGGGTCATATGGTAACTGTTTACGAAATTGCCAGATTTTTTTTCCCAAGTGGCATCGCCAATTTTCTTGTTTACTTGCAGCCAAAGGGGCTCCCAATTTGTTCACATCCTCACTGCTACTTGCTGTGATGTTTGTTTTATAAATTATAACCACCCTCATGGGTACAAATAGTATCTTGTGGCTTTTCTCTTTTATCTAACAATGTTGGCCATATTCTCACATGCTTACTGGAAATCTGAGTATCTTTGGAGGAATGTCTAAGCCCATTGTCTACTTAAAAAAAAAAAAAAAAAAAAAAAAAAAAAAAGAAAGTATTTATAGCCAGGTGTGGAAGCACACACCTTTAATCCCAGCACTTTCGAGGCCTAAGCAGGGGGATTTCTGTAAGTTTGAAGCCTGGTATACACACAGAGTTCTAAGACAGCCAGACAACATGGAGACCCTGTCATAATCAAACAACTCAGCTGTAAGCCACCCCATGTGGATGCTGGGCATTAAACTCACATTCTTTAGAACAGCAAGTACTCCTTCCTTCCTTCCTTTCTTTAAGTTAGAGTTTCTTTGTATAAGTCTGACTATCCTAAAACTTGCTTTGTAGACCAGGCTGGCCTTGAATGTACAGAAATCCACTTGCCTCTGCCTTCCTCGTGACAAAGTAGATTTTGTTGTCATGATTGTTAGGCTATTATGAATTTTAGAATAAGTATTTTTTGTTTGTTTTGCAAAGAGGTCCTGAGATTTTCTGTGACTCAATTAGGGGGTACTGTCATCTTAGGAATATAGTTATTCAGATCAATAAACACAAGACATCTTTCCATTGATTTAGGTCTTTGCTCTAATCATGTTCTACAGTTTTCTGAGTGCCTGTGCTTTGTGAACTTTCACAAGCTTATTGGTAAGGGTTAATTAAGGTCTTTCAGAATGTCCCTGGAATGAACCCGTTTCACTTTTACTTCCAGAGTGTGTACTTCAGTGTGTAAATATATGCCTGACTCGGCACTTATTGGTGCCGATTGGACTTTTCCTAGCAGTTCAGGGCATCCCTAGCATTTCCACGACCAAGGCCACGTCATCTGGGAGGGAGTGCTTTACTTCTGCTTTCCAGTCTGGATGCCTATTGTTTCATTTTCTTATCTAACTGGTCTGGCTAGAACTTCCCGAAGGGGGAGGAAAATCCAGACTTCCTCATTGAATCTAAGCTGGTTTTGAAGATTATTTTTTAATCACTTAAATCCCTACTCCACAGACAGCTTACCTCCCTTTCCTGCCATTTTTGGACTCACTAAGTAGCCCAGGTTAACTCTGAACTCAAGATCCTCCTGTTTCTGCCTTCTAAGTTCTGAGATCACAGATCCAACCCATCCTGTAAACTTTGATTTCAAAGTCTTCATCTAATGCAGAGAGCAAAGCACATTGTGGTATTCCCCTGGCTTATTGTGTTTCATCAACCACTACAAGTTTTGTTTTTAAATTAGAGTAACATTTGCGGGTGGGGAGACAGGGTCTACGTAGCTCTGGTTCTTCTGGAACTCTCTATGTAGACCAGGCTGGTCTTGAACTCAGAGATCCTCCTGCCTCTGCCACCTGGCACCACCAATTCTTGTGTGTGTGTGTGTGTGTGTGTGTGTGTGTGTGTGTACAGGACTGTGCCCCTACTAAGTGCCTGGAGGTCAGATGATGCTGTCTGATGCCCTGTTGGCACTCTGTGCCTTACTTCCTGAGACAAGGTTTCTCAGTGAACCTGGAGCTAGATGAGCAGTGAACAAATGATTGATCCTCATGGCTCCCCCTTCACAGCAAGGTTACGATACAGGTAGCCTTGCCTGGCATTTACATAGATGCTGAGCCATCTAATTTTGTCAAGAAAAGGTGTTTAAACCCAATAATTTCTTATTAAAAAGGGCAAGTAAAAATAAAGAACTTTTGTTCAAGTTATAGACCTTTAGGTTCATGGAAATTTCACTACATGTTTGCCTTTACTCTTCTAACTTGGGCACGGTGCAGCTGCAGTGCAACCAGCTATTGTGGAGAGTAGAGAGGATCCGTTACGAACTTAGGGATGAAAGGGTTTCTTTCGCAGGCCTCCCTGATGACCAGAAAAACACTTAAGCGGGTGGACCACTAGTTTCAAACCTTCAAGGTAGTGTGGGTAAGACCCCACAGGTCTGATGTTTCTCTGTGGCCTTCAGCAGCCATCCTGGACTACCGGTCACCGTCACGTGGGAAGAAGTAGCTGTGCTCCTGGTGAGTATCCAGCTGAGAACAACAGCTGCAACAATGTGTCAGCAATGTTTGCTGCACCACAAAGATAAAATGTAAGGGCCCGTGCATCTGATGGTAAAAATGGGCCCTTAGTGCTTCAAGGAGGATGTTACCTTTCCCAGCTGTTATGTTTTTAGCACAAACTGTGTCTATTTCCTCCACACAGACAAAGAACAGGCTTTGTTGCTGGCTCCTGTACCGGTGTTGCTCACTCCTTTACCGGAGTTCTCAAGCCAGCACAGGAAGCCTCGGTACAGCATTTAATACTGTATTTCCACAACTGCATCATCCAGTAGTCCACATGGCCTAGAAGCAGCCAGATTCATTGTTTTCATTTTTAGCACCCATCAGAGCACCTTCTAGACAGCAAGCCAGGAATAATTTTATGCTTTGTAATGAAACTATAATAACATCTAGGGTCTAGACTATGACACTAGGTTGTCTACATGTTCATGTGAGAGAACTCACATCACCCTGAGCCTTTTCCATCACCATTCATCTCTAGTTCAGGACTAGAGGCAGCTCTATAAGGTAACAGCAAGAACATCTGGGGCTGAGGATGAGGCTTAGTTGGTCAAATGCTTGCTCAGTGTATATAAGGGCCTGGAATCAGTGCTCAACACCAAATGTGATGATGTACACGTGAAATCCTAGCATTCAGGAAAAGGCAGGAAGTTCAGGAGTTTGAGGTCATCCCTGGCTACATTGGGAGTTTGAGGACAGCCTGGGCTGTATTACGAGACCTGTTCTGCCTCACCCCTAGCTCCTAAAAGGTCTGTCTAACGTAAAGCAGACCTATCTCTAAAAACAGTGTTTTATGAATGAAAGTGCTGCTCCAGGAGTCCTCCTAGCCCATCTCACTCATCGTAGACCTCTGCTGGAACATTCATAGACGGAGGTGCTTGAAAACATGAGTGTAGAGCGTATAACAGGGTCATTCTAGTCCCCAATTCCTTGTGTCCAATAAGAAGGCAACTCTTGTGATTTACAAATCAACACCATATCCACACAGCAGAACAAAAGCAATCACAACAGGGACTGAAGAGAAAGCTAAACAATTATGGACATTGGTTGCTCTTTCAGAGGATTCCCATCTATTCCCCGCACCTGAATGGTAGCTAGTTCACATGTGTGAACATGTATTTGCATTCATATGCCTGCCTGCCTGTAGAAGCCTGAAGTTGATATCTAGCATCTTTCTTGATTAATCTCTGTCTTATTCAGCCAAGCAGGGTCTCTCAATTGAACCCAGAACTCATGTGATGGGGGATGTCCTTTTGTATGCTGTGAATATATGTTTCTCCTGTCGGTTAATGAATAAAGCAGTTATGGCCAATGGACAGGCAGGATATAATATAGCCAGGCAAGAAGTATAGGAGGGGCTAACAGACTAGGAGAATGCTGGGAAAAGGAAGACAGGGAGTGGGTTGCAAGGGAGATACCATGTAGCTACTGAGGAAGAATGGCCTGGGCATCACCAGTAAGCCAAGACCATATAGAGAAACACAGATTAATAATAGTAATAGCTTAATAATTAAGAGAGCTAGCCAATAAGAAGCCTTAAGTCCAGGACAGTTTATAATTAATATAAGCCTCTGTGTGTTTATTTGGGACTATACAGCTATGGGATGGATGGGACAGAAACTTTAGTCTATACTTGTGGATATGGCTAAAGATTGCCCCAACAGCACCTTCTGACTGCTGTAATGACAGGCAGATCATTATGCAAGTACTTATGTGGGTTCTGGGGATCTGAACTCTGGTCCTCCTTGCTTGAGTATTTTATCCCCTGAGCCAAGTCCCCAGACACTCACTTCTCCATGCTAGAGCTAGTAGTGATTTGTATACTTACATTTTTTTCTTTTTCTCAAAACAACTGGAACTAGAAATAGCAAGCTTATTTCAAGAAAGCTGTCTTCTAAAAAGTAGGGAAAAGGGCTGGCCACTTCTCAGTTGGCATTCCACTCCTGCTGAGGGAAGGGAATGCCGCCATGTTCTCTGTCAAATGACAGCAGTGTGGATATAGCAGTTCCGAATTCTCAGGGACCACAGCAGGAAGCCAGTAAGTTGAGGTGTATTAGAATGTAACACATAATTCTCTTTTCTGGAGATTTTCATCATAGCAGAAGGATGTTAAAACCCGTATTTACAAAATAAGTCCAAAGTTAACCTTGAACAGATGAGAAGCCAACTGCAAATGTTTAAGGTACAACAACCTGAAATGGATCTATCTAATGTGGACTTCTCTCCAGCACAAAGGCATCTCTCCAGCACTCAGGAGGCAGAGACAGGTGGATCTCTGTGAGTTCGAGGCCACCCTGGTCTACAGAGCTAGTTCCAGGACAAGCTTTAAGGCAATACAGAGAAACCCTGTCTTGAAAAAACAAAACAAAACAAAAAACATCTATCCTTATGTCTCACTGAAGAATGACACTAAAATGGTACCTTCTTGCTAATGCAGTAAGAAAGGACCTCTTCCTTTGCTCCAAAATCGTAAATTTTAAAAAAGCAAACAAACTGGAAGGCCACCGCTTGTTAAAAGTGCAGCAAGCAGTATAATTGGTAGTCTAGACTTTAATCCCAGCACTTGGGAGGTGCAGGAGATCACTGAATGTTCCAGGCCAGCCAGGGCTACCAAGTTCTGACCCCGTCTCAAAACAAAACAAATCAAAATAGCACATAGCAAGGCAAGGCACAGAAATAAGAAGCCAGACCCACCTCCAACTCATAATTTCTATTAAGACTGATACAAAGCTCACTGCTCACTCGCCTATCTGCATGTAAAGCATCATTCATTCATTTTTCAAAACTATTTGTCAGTTTCTTCCCTAGCCACAGCTATTCTTAAATTTTAGATGCCGGCAATACTCATTGAACAATACAGAAAACCAAAGCATGGGTGTGGATGGCTACTAATGGACAGAAACACGTTACCCAAGTTGTAATTATGCCACGTTTTCTGATTAGCCAGCACGATAAGATTTTATCTGGTATTTACTTGAAGCAAAATCCAGCTATAGTTTACTTGCAAAATCTTACGCACTTCAGTGATGTAACTCCCCTTCTTCAAGAACTCAGACTTCTGTCACCTAATTTAAATGCACAAACGGAGGTCTCTATTTTTCTCTATAGTATCTGTTAAATTAGTACATTGAAGTACCTATGCATATACAAAACACACATACACTCTGCATATCTTGCGCGAAGTAGGTTCCAGAAAGAAAATATTTTGTTAAACTAATTACCCCCAAGAGCTAGTAAAGTGCCAGGTACAGAATGGGCGACCGCGGGCCATGAATGAATCAATACAGTTTGGAATCAAATCAAAGCGTAGTGCCATCGCTTCATTCCGGGATCTGCGCCCTTCGGACCTGCACGCTTGGGCACCCACATCCAGCACTTTCCCCACGTCTCCCTGGCTCCAACAGGTGATCCGGGGCAGACCCGAGCATGAGTGTCAGCGGGTGACCGGCCACGCGAGCTCTGCGCTCCGAACCTTCGCCCGGGCGTGGACAGAGCCCCGCCACCTAGGTGACCCGTGCTCCCGCTTGCCTCACCTCTTCGGCTGCTCGCCAAGGCGGCCACACGCCCGGCGCCCAGCGCCAGACGGCCCTGCGCGTTCCTGCGGGCGCAGAGCGCGGCCGCGGGGACGGCGTGCCCCGGGCGCGTGCGCTCAGCCAGCGTCCTACGCGGGGCGGTGGCGGCCAGGCGCGGGGAGGGCACGAGCAGGAGGAGCAGCAGTGGGGACGCGCGGGCGGCCCGTCCGCGAGGTCTCAGCCAGCTTCGTCCGCCGGGCAGCGGGGAGACGCCGGAGCGCGCCGACACTCCGCAGCGGGAGGGCAGGAGCCGCTGACGGCCCGGCGTGTGCTTCGATCGCTCGCCCGCCACGGAGCTGCTGTCCATCCCCGAGCGGGTCACAGGCCCGGGCGCGCAGGCATGTCGCTCCCGCGCGGCCCCGACCACAAGTCGCCGCGGGAGCGAGCGTGGGGCCGGGGCGCAGACCTGCCCCTTCCTGCCGGAGGGCGGCGGGCGCGGTAGTCCGCCGTTGCCACGCCCCATCCCATAGCCAAGAACCTCGTTTAGCCCCTCCCTGACCACGCCCCTCTCCAGCCCCATATAACTACTCCCCTCGTGTGGCTGTCCTAGCCATGCCCCATGCCGGGTCTGGTCCGTAGTCACACCCTCTCCGGGGCCGGCCTTTACGTTACCACGCCCCTCGTCCTTTTACTGAGGCCTGAGGTGACCTAGTCTCTGGCACAGGGGTTAAGAGGTATCTTAGCCAATTTTCGCTGCAGGAAGTCATGGTTGTTTATCGTGGAGATACTCAGAAAATTACGTTGTGCTTTCTGCTGCAACCATGTACATTTTCATTGCGCCGTTGTCTCTAAGAAATATTAATGACTCCTTTGTCCTTTGCAGAGCTGTAAAGTCTTTGGCCACTGACTGGTTTAGAGTTCATTAACTACCCGGGTCTCAAATTCCCTAGTGTAGCGTTTTAAGGAATTACTCACAGGGCATAGGGAACTATGCTTGCAGAGTCAACACACAGCTAAACTTTCAGTTTTGCTTTGTGAGACAAAGTCTCACTATGTAGCCTTGGCTTTGCTTCCAGAGTGATGGGATTAAAGGTATACATCACCACATAAGGCTTTATTTTTTGTTTTAGATTAGAGCGCACACGTTAGAAGGTCCTACTGTGTAAACATAAAACCTGGAGTATGAATATTAAATTAGACTACTGGGACGAGAAAGAGACACTTGAAACAGGTGTTTAGTTCAGAACTTTCTGAAAGACTGTCGCACTTTACAGCTACTGGTCCTTTGCGTAAAATTGAAAAAGTTTGTTGAATGAATGAGTAAAACACACAAGGCACCATGCTAGGAGAGAGAGAAAATGCATTGTTGTTGATTGGGAAAAAAAAAAAAAAAGAAAAAAGAAACAGAAAAGGGAGTACAAGACTGCTCCTAGGTGTGGTGGAGGAGGGGCAGAGACTTCTGGGAGAGTCCAGACTGAACAAGACCTTGAGCCTGGCCCAGTGGGGAGAAGGGGGAGGAGAGAGGGGAATGTCAGGAGTGTAAAGGGTGGAGGAAAAAGGGGCAGGTACCCAGAATGGCTGGCTTATATAGGAAAGGACATCTGGAGGAAGGGCAGCCCAGGCCCTGGGATGGAGAGTTCTGGAAGCAGGTAGGTGTGTCAGCCAGAAGGACCCAGTAGCAGGTAAGCACTGAGGGATTCTGGGAGAACCTGGCTGCCAGGCCCACTTTGATATGTTAAATAGGCATTTTAGTGTGCTTGTCTCAAGTATGAGACCTAAGGGTTGTTTTCTTGGAGTGATTAGTAATTAGCTGGTGTGGTTTTTGTTGTTGTTTATTTTGCTTTTGCTGTTTTAGTTAAAGGCTGTCACTGGTACACATGCTGATGCAGAATGTGTTTAGTCCGATGCTGGACAGTATAGTGTGTTAAAAAGATGGGAAGATGTGCAAGTAACTACAAAATGCAAATAATTAAGAGTGAGGTACAAGCCAGACACTCAAAAAGCTAGAATATCAATTTGTAGAATGACAGGCAATGGAAGGTAGGAGTATTTTGCTCAACACTCACCTCTGAAACTGTAATCTAAGGAAATAACCCCAAAACATTTAAAAAACCTGTCAGTTTAGACTTAAGAACTTTTATTTTTATAGGTCAAAACTATTGAACATTTGGTAATTTCATATAGGTTAATTTAATTCACGAGCAAAGGAAAGGTTAGATGCAATGGTGCAGTCCTGAAGTCCCAGAATTCCAGAGGGAGAGGCAGGGGCATCAGGAGCTCATGCTCATTCTTGGCTGCACAGCAAATTCAAGACTAGTGTAGAATACACATGATAGGTGTGTGTGTGTGTGTGTGTGTGTGTGTGTGTGTGTGTGTGTGTGTAGAGGGAGAGATAATGTGTCATGATTTGTGATTGAAAAGGTGGGCAAACAAATGTACAATGTTAGAGACATGTTACATAAAAGTGGCACAAACACATTTTTAAAATTGAGCCTTTGAAGTTGAAATACAATTTTCAAACATTAAAGTCCACACAGATTTTATATGCTCAACAATTGTATTTAACAATTGCATATACCACCCAAATAAGACCTAGGCATTTTCATTTCTCTGGAACAGTCCTTTCCTGTTTCCCAAATCACCCAGCAACCCAGGGAGAAGCCCCCAGGGCTCTGATTTCAACCACTGCAGACTAGTTTCACTGGTTCTTGGACTGGAGTGGAACCCTGCAACAAGCGTGGCCTAGTGTCTAACTCCTCCCACTTCCTGTCTGACATCAGTGTAGTATCTGTGAAAGTCATCTATGCTCACTCAGTAGCTACTCTCATCATTAAATACTACTCATTGTATGACTAATAATGACCAAGTATCCACCCTACTACTGACTGTCATTTGGTCTGTTTCCAGTTTGGGGTTACTATGAGTAAATCGCTGTGTGGGCATGTCTTAAACTGTCTTATGAAAATATCTAAAACTCAAATTGCTTAATCATATGGTGATTGTAATTGGACCTTATAGATACCGATGAAGTGTTCTTTCGCAGGGAACCACATTCTTTTTCTCTCTTGCCATAGGATAGGATTTTCAGTTGTTTTACAACCTCGACATGCTTGCATGTTTTTCGCCCCTTTTTGGAAAGTGTAATAACACTGACTGGTGGAGTTTTCAGTGTTTATGGATGTATTGCAGGGCAATTACAAAATAAAGGGATGAACAGGGAGATCAGAGATGGTCAGCATGGATTAAAGCATTTTTTAAAAAATCCTCAAAAATGAAAGAAATAATTAAAAATAAACTGATTAATTCAATTAAAATAGGCTAATGCAAATTTAAAAATGACCACAAAAAAGTAAAGAAAAATGAACTATGAATTAACAATATGTTGTCTTCAAGAAACTTGTGTGAATTATAATGTATCTGGGTTAAAAATAAAGACCGAGCCTGGTGGTGGTGGTGGTCTATGCCTTTAAACCCAGCACTCAGGAAGGAGGCAGAGGCAGATGAATTTCTGTGAGTTCGAGGCCAGCCTGGTCCATAAAACTACACAGAGAAATTCTGTCTTACGGAGGGAAAAAAAAAAAAAAGTGGAAGAAAGGGAGATGTATTTTGCCCTCTTCCTGGACAAATACAGTTACATGCTGACAGAGAGTACATAAGAGCTCTGGGTTTTCTCTGGCTAAAATGTATCACAATGTTAAAAACAGTGAATATGACAATGAGGGACAGAATAAGTTGGTGGAGGCGTGGGGGTAGTAAAGGCTTATTTGTGTCTATTCCATAAATTAATTTTCTTTCCTTTATTTTAGCAAAATGACTATGTTATGAAAAATTTCACACAATTTGTTATCTTTGACTAGAGAATCCTTAAAAGACTATGGCATAAAAAGTAGAGCAAAATGTTGGGTGTAGTGTCACACACCTTTAATCCCAGCACATGGGAGGCAGAGACGGATCTCTGTGAGTTTGAGGCCAGCCTGGTGTATGGAGTGAGTTCCAGGACAGCCAGGGTTGTTATACAGAGAAATCTTGTCTTGTGTGTGGCGGGAGATGAACAAAATTTGAAATATCTATGTGGTGATATCTTGTAAAAATAAAGCATGTCTGAAGATCAGAGGGTGGAGCTTGCCTCTAGCTAACCATAGAGGTCTGGAGGAGATCGGGACAGAGAGACAAGAAGTGAGATGGCTGGGCAGAGAACGGAATATAGGTGGGAGGAAACAGGAACTCGCCCTCTTTTCTGCTGGGAAGCCAGTGAGGTAGAGGTGGCTTTGCTTTGCTCCTCTCTGATCTCTCAGCATTTGCCCCTATATCTGACTCCAGGCTTTTGTTATTAAGACCGATTAGAACTCGTGCTACATATGTACATCAAAAACATCAAGTAAATGCAGAAAACGCTTACATCTACATTACTTTAATGAATTACATATGTTTCTATTAAAAATCTGAAAACTTTTATTGAAAGACCAAATTATTGCAATGATCAAAATGATTCCAAGTCGATATTTCTATTTAATATTTCAAAAATGTTGTGCAACCATTGTGAATATTTTTATACTGAAATGCTATTTGTAGTTTTGGCATTCAGTGTCCACTGTCTATCTGGTCACTAAGGTAAAGAATTATGATTTACACGTGCAATGTCTCACTAAACACTGTGAGATGTGGCAGAGATGTCATATATCACACCTGTAAATAAAACTCTAATGTTTTGTATCTTCTAGAGCAACCAGTTAGACATAAAGATAAGTGAGAAAATGGATACTTGGATGTCCAGGAATCAACACTTTATTAGGCAAGAATCTATTGCTTTGTCTAATGGTCTGTTGATTGACCTTTCTTTGCTTGCTACCTTCCTTCCTTTCTTTTATCACTGATATGCTTGGGAACAGATAATGCATCAGGAGCATTTGTTTATAAAATTTCATTATATATTTTTTATTATCATCATTATTAAGCTTTTTATTTTGCTATCTTTATTATTTTTACTATTTAATTATTTATTATTATTATTTAGTATGCATGGCTGTTTTGCCTTCATGTATGTCTGTGTACCACACAAATGCCTGGTACCTGTGGAAGGCATCAGATCCCTGGGAACTGGAGTTACAATTGTTTGTGAGCCACCATGTGTGTCCTAGGAACTGAATTTGAGTCTTCTGCAGTAGCTCTTAACCTCTGAGCCATCTCTACAACACAGTTACTCTACCCTTGAAACCCTTACAGACACATCCAAAGGTGTAGTTCTTTAGTCATTGGTTCTCAACATGTGGGTCACGATCCACTGTGTGTGTTTAACGACCATTGCACAGGGGTCGAATATCAGCTATTATGCATATCATATATTTACATTATGATTCATTACAGTATGGACTGACAGCAACGAAACATTCTTTTTTCTCTTTTGTTTTTTTGAGACAGGATCTCTGTGTAACTCTGACTGTCCAGGAACTCACCCTATAGACCAGGATAGCCTCGAACTCAGAGATCCACCTGCCTCTG